TCTCCCTCGCCGGTCTGTGCGCAACACGGACGGTTTGGAGCACATTATCTTCTGTCTCGCATGCGCACTCTTGATTCCGTGAGTTTGAACTAATTTGCGGGCATCAGGAAACCGCTATCAATATGCAGCATACACGAAAATCATTCACCTTTCGGCAAATTCGCCGTTTTGAAACCAAAATAGGTGACCTGCGTTAATCGTGTATACTTTATGAAGCCATACTGTAGTATAATGTGAGATAGAAATGTATATTTAAGTCATTAAATTCAAGTTAACGTAAGCTTTTCCCTCCACTGCGGCTGTCAGTCATTCTATATTCGGTGTTCAAACAGCGCGTCGCGTTACAACAGTTAACATGATGAAACTCTTTCCAAGATGATTCAATGTTATTATTATAATTGATCCGTAGATAAAGGTCTATGGTTTCGTAATATAATGACTATCTTGCTAGACTTTTATTGCTGTAACTTAATCACTTTCTACTGAGTGTGTTAGATCACAACACTAGAGTAGACTCGGCGCACTATAATTGTTCTTCACGTGCACAGTAGCCTAACTGAAATTTAAAACTGTTAAAAGAAAAGGCTTAATAAACTATTGCAAAGATACTGTATAATACACAGTCAATATTGCTTCCTCACTAAACAGCTGTGCATCTGATTTTTACGATGTTTTTCATGAAAGTATAACAACAATACAAAGAGCAATGTGTAACGTTTTACCAGAGATAGTGCTACACTTATTGTCTCTTATTTTTTCCCCACTAAGGAATGTTTTTTTTCACTAAATGTTCAGATTTTATACAATTATTGTGCACTTGTGATTTTTCTAGGCTAAGTTTTTCTGAGTTATCCACTAATCTAGTTTACAATAGCATTTTTGTCATAGGTTATGGTCATATATTTTTTTTATTTGTTGTTTTTCTATATAACGAAGTTGTCTATATTAAGAAGATTGTTTAACACACAAAAGAGTGTGGTTTTTAGTTTTTTTTTAGTTATAATAATATAATAATATAATATAATATAATAAAATAATTTTTTAGTTATAATATATAATAAACAAAAAAATGAAATACATTTTTTATCCGATTAATCGATTAATCGAAAAAATAATCGTCCGATTAATCGATTATCAAAATAATCGTTAGTTGCAGCCCTAATTTATATAGTTTTTACCTCTTGTTAACAGCCGTTCGAACTGATCTGAATCAGATGTCCAACTGAACTGAACTGATCCGTCTCCAGACGTTACGCCACAAGTGATCTCTCGCGTGTCTACGTCACGCATTGTTTACACTGAGATTTCAGAAGTTTTACCTTTCACTAAACATATTTAGATATATCGAAATCGACTTCAGAACCGTCTTCGTCGACGGTTCAGTTCGGTTCATTTGGACATCTGATTCAGATCAGTTCGACGGCTGTTAACAAGAGGTAAAAACTATATAAATACTGTTCGTTTTCTCACACAAACCGCTCGTTTCGTGTCTTAGGCCATCAATGTGTACTTACATTTACGAGTCATTAAATCATGTTTAATTTGGACTTCTCTGTGCATGCTCTTTGAGGTGGACCCCCTAAAACTGCATTATATGACTGACAGACAACACCGGTAAGACTGAAAAATGTCAAAATTGAAAATGCTGTGGAAACAAAGACGTCACCTACATCTTGGATGCACTTAAGGTAAGCTAAAACATATCAAAAATTAATTTCAAAGTGAACTATCCCTTTAATCCAAATGTTCTGAAGAGGCACAATCACTTTATATTATGAACAGATTGAATTTAGGCCTTTTAATCACATATTAACATTGATCAGCGAACCTGCTTGAAGCATGGGACTAGTGTTGTCAAAAAACTCGGTACTTCGGTACCAAGTCGGTACTAAAAAAAAAAAAATGTTACGGTACCAGCTTTTCTAGGTACCGAATACCAGGTTAATCCAGTTCTAGACGCGCTGTCTGAAAGGTGCACAGTTGCGTCCTCTTCATAACGCTGATATGGCTCTCTCTCTCTCTGAATCCACTTGTTGACACGAAAGGAGGAAAGAGCCACATATGAAATATTTTGGATTAGGCTAATGTCACGTTGCCATAAGAGGCCGATTACATGCAAATTCGCAATTTCAAATATAGGCGCGAGGCAAGCGCGCTCATAATAAAAACTCGTTGCATAGCAACGACAGACGCCGCGTGAGAGCAAGCGCTTTGGAAAGAATAAGCACGCGCAAAAATATAATAAAAAAAACACGCGCGATATGTGAACGGCCTCTAAAGTGCTTTCGGGGTAGTTTTACGAGTACATGGGCACAGTAGTATTATCCAACCGACACCAGAGTACTGGTATTAGTATCGATGCATCCCTATTTGTGTCATTTAATGTCAGTGCCAGTTCTAGGCATATTCTTGCCTTTATAACTCAGCAGTTTTAAAAAGCCTTTTCAAAATTAAATATGAATGCAGTTTTAGATTAAATAAAAGTACAGTCAAATCAAATAAAACATGTTTTTTTCTCCTGTAGCCTATAGTTTGGTAATGCTACAATAAGATACCATTTATCAACATTAGCTACTTCACATCAACACATGGAGTGAACAATATATTTTTACAACATTAATTAATGTTTGTAAATGTTATTTAATAGAAACACTTGATTGTTCATGTTTGTTCACTTTATTCATTGTGCATTAAATAAATGTAAACGGATTAGAACTTTACAAACAACTTTAAAAATGTGTTAGTATACTATTGTTTATTTTAGGTCATTTTATCTAATTTTTTTCTAAAGTGTTTATAATACAAATGTACAGTTTCCATACTTGTAAACGTGATAAACACTTAAATATATGTAAATTTAAACTAAGCTTTGGTACCGAAATTGGTACCGAGAACCGTGAACTTTTACTGGTATTGGTACCGAATACTGAAATTTTGGTACCGTGACAACACTACATGGGACCAAACCTCATTGGTTCTTGCTGAAGCTCAAAGGTGCTGCGTAACACGAAAATAAACCACATTAGCTCTTGATGAAACTAAATCGTGTGGTGTAACACAGGAATAAAGCTCATTGGTTCTTGCAGAAGCTCAAACGAGCTGCGTAACACGAGATTGAACCTCATTAACTATTGCAGAATCTCAAACGTGCTGCGTAACATGAGAATGAACCTCATTGGCTCTTGCAGAATCTCAAACGTGCTGCGTAACATGAGAATGAACCTCATTGGCTCTTGCAGAATCTCAAACGTGCTGCGTAACATGAGAATGAACCTCATTGGTTCTTGCAGAAGCTCAAATGTGCTGCGTAACACGAGAATAAAGCTCATTGGTTCTTGCGGGAGCTCAAACGTGATGCGTAACACGAGAATGAACCTCATTGGTTCTTGCAGGAGCTCAAATGTTCTGTGTAACACGAGAATGAACCTCATTGGTTCTTGCAGAATCTCAAACGTGCTGCGTAACATGAGAATGAACCTCATTGGCTCTTGCAGAATCTCAAACGTGCTGCGTAACATGAGAATGAACCTCATTGGCTCTTGCAGAATCTCAAACGTGCTGCGTAACATGAGAATGAACCTCATTGGTTCTTGCAGAAGCTCAAATGTGCTGCGTAACACGAGAATAAAGCTCATTGGTTCTTGCGGGAGCTCAAATGTTCTGTGTAACACGAGAATGAACCTCATTGGCTCTTGCAGAATCTCAAACGTGCTGCATAACACGAGAATGGACCTCATTGGTTCTTGCAGAAGCTCAAATGTGCTGCGTGACACGAGAATGAACCTCTGGATCTTGCACAACTAACCCTTTAAGGTGTGGTCACATTAGTGACATTTCTGTGAAATTTTGCAGGCTAAACAGGTCCATTGTCACTAGTGTAGCGATGCATGAAGAACCGCTCGCATAGAAGTCACTTTCAATCTTAGCGAAATCTGCCTGTTCGAGCAGAAACTCCCAAACTCGCACCATGTGAAGCTCCCAATTGCATGGATTCTTATTAAATTGAATTGTTTACAGAGGAACTGTATATGTGACCACACATTTACACTGCAATTTAAACCGTATAAAAATGCAGTTATTAATCAGGTTACCAGACAACTGTTTATCTGGCAATCGGTCAGGGTTAATTGGGCCTTGACTGCAACTGACTGAAAAAAAAAAAACCTGGTTGAAACAGCAAGGTATTTTGAAGTGCCCCCCACGCAAGCCAACTATGGAGAACCAATCTGCAACATGAAACACAACTGTACAAGCAGACACTTTTGACATGCCCGAACAGAAATAGTTGTGAGGAGACTCCTAAATTATGAATTCTAAGAAAAGCTAGTGCACATTTAGATGCAGAGACTCGCGCCGGCAAGCAAGCAGGAATAACAGACTGTATAGTACTGTAAGAAAGCATTGCACGTCTTTCTTATCAGAAAAGATGATCTCATATGGAATGTCTAAATGGAAATAGTTGCAGGCTGCAAGTGGTAAGTTTTAGCAATGTGTTTAGCAATTACATACTTTTAATTCTATGCAATGTCAAGAACAAACCAGGGTTTACCAATTTGTCCCTAAGACAAAAAAGCAATACACATACATTTAACTTGACAAACGCCAAGAATTCCAGAACATAAACCTGAACCTGGGGAAGAAAAACGTGAGAAAATCCAATAGGGAAGCATATTGTTCACACTTTTGATTTTCATTCAGTATTGTCCTCCTTCCAAAGATAACATCTTAATGCAAATACATGCCTTTGTTCCTCACTATTTGTCTATATGAACTAATCAAACTTTCTCAAGTAACAAATCCATCTTGATGGAGAGCAGAGCCTGATAAAGCATTCTCATATCAAACGTTTCCTGTGCAATCCTTGTTGTTTTAGTCATGGCTGCCACCCAAGATCATCCAAAAAAAAATATTTTACCTATGTGTGCTACCCGACCTGGAGTGACACTTTCTACAGAATAAGACCTTTAGAGCAACAGAAAGGTATTGGAACATGTTCTTACCCTCTTTGGAAGAGATCCACATTATAAAACTTGTGGAGCTCACAAGAGAACTCCACCGTGGCCTGGACCTCCGTCATGCTCGATTCAGGGCTGGAGGACGGCCTGTCTCAAACGATCTGCAGCAAAACTGTGCAGATACAGAACAAATAAACATATTAATCAGTTGTGTCATCAATAGTGAGAGGACCGGAAAAGAGGTTTCTACATTTTACATTACATTTCTACACTGAAATTTAAGCAGAAAATACATTAAAACATAGAAATGTGGTAATATGTTAAAGAAAATATGCACATGTGCATCCAACAGTATGAGAGTATGCACACTGTATCTAGCTTTGTGTGAAGAGCAGATCAAACAATACTGTTAAAAAATCTGGGGTTGGAAAGATTTTTTAAAATAAGTATCTTATGCTCACCAAGGCTGCATTTATTTAATCAAAAATACAGTGATAACTAAATTCAAATTTTATTACAAGATGAATTTGATTTCCATTTTAAAACTTATTTTATTCCTGTGGAAAAGCTGAATTTTTTAGCATCATTACTCCAGTCTTCAATGACACGATCATTCAGAAATCATTCTAATATGGTGCATTTAGTCAGGGAGCCAAAGTCTCAAAAATGGGTTGAACCTGACATGGTCTGCCATACTTTTTATTTGTGTTTTTTCTGTTAACTTTGACCCTAAGAACAAATAATTGGAGGGTCTGCTCTGCCGGAAATATCGCGAAAAAAAATTGTGGGCATTTTAGTGTAAGCACCCTTTATTTTTTATCAGAAAAATGTGAAAAATTATTTTTTTCATCAAATTCTTAGTGGGTTGGGTAGGTTCTCAATAAATGCATTCCAGATACACAGAACACATGTGCAGACAACATCCACTGAAAAAATAATTCTTAAAACACATTTCTACATGATTTCGCATCAATTTAATGCAAAAAAACAGGCGTTTTTTCACTTATTTTCCACTATTTTCATCTTTACTTCATTGGCAATCAACTATTCCCTTAAGTTATGACATCAGGCAATATGCCATTCTTTTCACCAAACACTATACTCATTACACAGAAAAAATTATAAAAATCCAAACAAAATCAATGGATCTGTGATGATTTCACTACTAGTTGGCGATCAACAGGCTCAGAATTTCAATAGAATTTTAGACTACTCTCAAAATTCTTAAAAACATGCTGGATATTTAGCATCATGGCTCACTTACAAACACACACACACACACATGATCTTAGTAATTTTTATGAGTTTGGAACAACCAACCAATGGTTACCAACGGTTACCAACAGACTTCGAAGCTGCTCATCATTGTCTGTGGTAAGTGATAGTGACTAATATACCGGTAGGTCTGCCCCAGAGTTTTGGGAAAAGAATGGTAATATGGATACTGTAATTGTAATTAACTGAAAGGACCACACCAGTCTTCAAACAATAATATTTCTGATGATTCCTCATCCCAAACATATCCCTGTAGCAGCAGCATTCATTCTCTACTAGTTTACTTAGCTAGCTTTAGCCGTTTTAGCTAATGTTGGTGGTTTCTTTAAACGGCATTACTCCTCACAGGTATGGGGTAGAGCGTAGAGACTTACTTTTTTTAAATGCTTAGGATATTATTCTCTAATAGAGGTATGTGTCCTATATGTTCAATAAGCTTCAACCGGAAGTTGAGAAATTGCCAAAATTTCAACTGGACTTGTTAGGTAAAGAAATAGATATGAGAATAAATGCTGCTACAGGGATACGTTTGGAGCGAGGAATCATTGGAAATAAACTTGTATGAAGCCTGGTGTGGTCCTTGAAGTGTTTTTCATGTCAGACAGATAGTAGGCTAGTAAGGATAACTAAAGGCTACATTAAACGTTAGTTGCCATTAGCAATTAGCTACATGGCTAGTTGTTACATTCAGATTTAGAAAGTTTAGCTAGTTAGCTTGTGCACGAATGGCCACACAGACACAAAAAAACAATATGTAGCTATATTGGATATCAGACTGTACACAATACTGAACAATACAAATGTTCAGTAAAATGTAAACATACTATATAGTATGCATAGTTTGTTTTTTGTATATAATACTGTACAGTATAGAGTGAGTGATTTGTCAAAAGCTAGTTACCTAGTAGTGTCAAACATCTAGATTTCTTTCACCCGAATGCACAATATTTTCCATTGGCAGATTTGGTTCTGATCTTATTGGGTTTGCTGTGGAGGAAAAGGTAACGAGAAGAGAAGTCAGCAGACGATTGGAAAGGACTGTAAAAAGGAGTGGAGGACTGAACAGAAGGGAAGAGTAGAATGAGGAGAGTAGAGTGAAGAGGACAGGGGTGGACTGAACAAGAGAGAAGAATAGTAGATGGAAAAAGAGGAGTGAATTGATCATTTACATTTATTCATTTAGCTGATGCTTTTTATCCAAAGTGACTTACAATTGCTATATATGTCAGAGGTCACACACCTCTGGAGAAACTAAGGGTTAAGTGTCTTGCTCAAGGACACATTGGTGTCTCACAGTGGATTCGAACCCCGGTCTCTCACACCAAAGGCATGTGTCTTATCCACTGCGCCATAACCACCCCGCTCAGTGATGATCAGATGTGGTTTGTTGGTGCCTTGGGGAAGAAGGGACCACAGTTGATCACAGTTGCAGGGATGGTATCTGGGATGAGAAATGTTGGAATGATTTCCATGTAGGAGCAGTGCAATTTGGTTCCAGGTCCTCCAATAGTTTGTTGGTGACTTGGGGAAGATGGGACCATAGCTTATCACAGTTGCGGGGATGGTATCTGGGATGGTAAATGCTTGGAATGAACTGCCATGCAGTGTTCGTCCATCCTTTGTGTACTCTGGGAAGTCAAGTTTATCAAACTGTGTGAATCATCAAACCTTCAGGTTCGTTGGTATGAAGGCACCATCCCTAGTTGTCTGCTCTTCAACTGCCATTGTTGTAAAATATATGTAATTCTTTGTAGCTGATGCTGTTCCTAAATCTATTTAGGAGTGACACGATTGACTTCTGGTTTCCTTAACGGCTATCCCAACGTGTTTCGGTGTTGGGATCTTGGCAACTGCTTTGCAGACATCCTGGGCAAGGTTGAGAACTTGTTCTTGCTGCTTAAGACTAACTTTCACCCGGTCGTCTTCACCTAACTCTGGAGATGCATCTGTTATCATCCATGCCAGGTGGTATAACAGCTCAATCTTTGGGATGCCTCCAGGTATGATATCTTGCTGCAGTGTTGGGTCTTCAGTCATACTGCCAGCGATCTGGTGACTTCCTCTGGCTTGAGCTGTTCTGGCTTGTCTTGCTTCCTTCAGGGCCTGCTTAGGTTGGTCCTGGAGTTCCTTCCGTATTCTAGTTGCAGTGTTGTAGGAAGAGACTATGGTGTGAAATATCTCAAGCCTATGCGAGTACCCACAGCTCAAGATTAATTCATCCACGCTGTTACAAAGAGCGTTTTAAAAAATCTTTTTTTCCAACTGCAATTAGATTTTACAATCAGTGCTATATAAGATGATGTAGATGATGGTCATATATATAATCATGGTCATAATGCTTTGAAAAATTGATATTTGAGTACAAGACCTGTTGTTGTTGTGTATGTTGTTGTTATGTTTTTATTTTATTTTTATTGTATTTATGTGCTGCTGTGACATATAAATTTCCCCCCTGGGATTAATAAAAAAGTAAATCATCATCATCAACTCACTTTCTTCTTCATATTCTGCAAGAAGTATGCAGAGTATTAGGGTGGTGATGGTGCAGTGGATAAGGCACATGCCTTTAGGTTGAGAAACTCTGGTTTGAATCCACTGCGAGACACCAATGTGTCCCTGAGCAAGACACTTAACCCCTAGTTGCTCCAGAGGCGTGCGACCTCTGACATATATAGCAATTGTAAGTCGCTTTGGATAAAAGCATCAGATAACTGTAAATGAGTATTTCTTCTTCATACTCTGCCTCTTCCGTTTTCTCCTTAAGTTCCTTCAACTTTGAGAGCATGTGGCCAACATTCATTTATGCTGAGCAAATAGAACATACTTTCTGTGGCACAACCATTATTTTAAAAATACCACCTACTTCAAAGTGCCTTCTAAGGTGGGCAATAAAGGACTGATATGTATGAGGTAACATTGTGAACTCCATGGCTTTCCAAGTATTTATGGAATTCATCCCTCAAAGCTGTAACGAAGAATATGGCATTCAGGTCTGGATGCTGGTGCCATAGGGTGGCCCGTCTCTGAGAGAGCAGATCCTGGGCCAGGGAGGGGCTGTTGCGAGGAGCACCAGTTCCAGGAACCAGATCCGGTTGGACCAATACAGCGCAACTAACAAGACCTGCTCCTCGTCCTTCCTGACCTTGCACAATGTCTGTGCAAGAAGGCTCACTGGGGGAAACGCATACTTGCGTAGGTCCGGGGACCAACTGTGTGCCAGAGCATCCATTCCGAGGGTCCCCTCGGTCAGAGAATAGAACGACTGGTAGTGAGAATTGTCCAGGGCGGCAAACAGATAAACCTGTGGGGTCCACACTGAGGCCTGGATGGTGGCTGCTGCTGGGGCTTCACAGGAGCGGAGGATGCCCCAGGAGGTCGACCTCAGTGACGAGCGGATGGAGGGTCTGCGACCAGTGAACGGGTGGGGCAAAGCTGTCAACCACGTCGCCGAATAACCAAACCTGGGACAGAGGGGCATCCAGGAACCGATTCTTAATGGTGTCCCTCATATCGGCCAGGTTGAGCCAAAGGTGGTGCTCCTGGACCACCAAGGTGGACATCGCCTGACCAATGGAACGTGCGGTTTCCTTCGAAGGGGGCAACACAGCCGAATCCTCATCTCCAGAGGACTGAAGCTCCCCCTACAATGCTGTGAACAACATCTGATCATCAAGCAGAGCCCCAAAGGACATGGTTGGTTGTTGCAGCGCTTGTAAGGTGTGAGGGACCCAAGGAGATTGCCTCAGCGGGGAAGTCCTCACATTAATCCTCAGATCACCCTCAGATCACCCTGACCATGCACAAAAGTAGATTTATTTTGAGGTCCAAAATAAAAGCTAGATCGGGACATAGGCGAGGGGACTGCACCTCCCTTGAGGTAAGCAAGTCTCAATCTCA